TTTTTGCTCATTTCTCGGAGGCAAAATGAGCAAGAAGGCTCATTTGCACATCATTCTAGAGATAAATAAATGGCCTTTTTAGAAAGTGAACCATCGATACGGAAATGTTGGCAGTTTTCTCAAAAAGTGCTTGACCACTATAACTCCCCCCCTGGATACAAAATATTTGCTGAGCATGGTGATAATTTCGTTAAAATTGAACTTAATCCTCATTTTTGCCACGTTGTCTTTTTTACAACAAGAAGAACGGAGAGGGAGATGGTGGACGTAGTCTTTTCCTCCAACTCATAAGTGTGCCAACAAACAAAATAACGAGAAAACGTCCTAGAAAAGCTCACTGTGAAGGTGCCAAAACCTTCGACTTGTCCATCGAGTTCAACGATAGCCACACAGAACAAAGCGCTGTTCTTCAGCAATGGAAACAAAGAACAGAAGAACAAGAGAAAAAAAACGAAATTTTCGATTATTTTATTTCGATTCTAGCTCAAAGGTGGTACAAATAAACGACGCCCAACCAACATTATATTTATAATAATTACGAATCTCGCCATGCACCGCAGTTGGTCTTCGCATAATTATTTCTCGGACCGTGCGGGCAATTGCAATGTAATCGAATAGGGAACCAGTGGCGTACTTTCACCCCGACGCATTTTACACAAAAATGGTTGCTCAATCGCCCACAAAACAGCATTAAAATCCTGCTAAACATTTGAACAACAAACGCGTCGCAAGTCTTGGCTGGAAAACCGCATTTTCCTTTGCTGAGCGCCAATTTCTCGTCAAACCCTGGAAAACCTTTTGACTTTGCAATGCAAGAACAAACGACTATCTACCTAATAAAACAATTGATGGTTTCAAAATAAAAAAAAGCAGGAAAAATGGGTATAAACTGAAAAACACTCACTCATTCATCCATACATTAATTGCGAAATGATTCAGCCCGCGTGCGGTTCGTAAATGCGTCGGCACTTTGACGTGAATAATTATTATTACAAAATGTTTACGATATAAAAACATAATATAAATAGTCGGTTTTACGATATAAATTAAATAATTTAAGGCGAAGGATTTATAAACGGCGATGCGAAATTATGACTTTTCCGTGCCGGCCATAAAACAGCGAGTAAATAATATAAAATATATTACTATTATGATTATATTTAGATGTTATTTATGGTTTTGTTCGAATAATATTATATGGGAAGACGGGGAATGCGTTTGCGTCACGTCGGGGGGCATAAATCGGGCGCTTTTTACCAAGAGATGGATTTCTTTGCAACATTTGCGCGCCCAACCTTTGCCTCTAAGTCCCAAGCAAATATTTTAATCAATAGTAAATCCAGATAATGACTAATGACGCCTACGAGCGCTCGCGATCTATTTACTTTATAAGGCTTTATAACTCTTTCTAATTGCTTGATGGTTGTTTAAACATTTCGGAGATTTACGCAAATATTGCCGAATCGTTAAGCAAATGGCGGCGAGGCCGTCAGAGCCCAAATGTTTATATTTTATTTATTATTTATTTATATAACATGGTCGTAAACTTGGGGGGCCTAATCCAACATGGAACATTTCCACGTCCAAACCCATTAAATGTGAAAAATATTGTACTCGCACAGAAAAACACATTAGTTCACACACGAATTACCCCTAGAATACTTCAAGAAATTTTTTTATTGTTTTTCTGCCTGCCTAATTGCCAGATTTCTGCCGCGTGGGTCATTTCCCATTGATTACTCGCGTTTTCTATGCACAGGATTAGGCTTTTTCTCCCATTTGCCGTGTTGCCAACAGCAGTGTTTTCTCTAAACTCAACTGATTTCAAACTACATGTAGGATCTTTGTCCCAATTACCCTGTTGCCAGACTGCAGTGCATTCAACGTCGATAGAGAAAGAAAAACTATTGCATTCAAACTCGCAAATTTTTCAAAAATCTATCAACGACAGGATTTTTTTGGCAATTTCCTGTGTTGCCGATTGAAGTGTTTTCTTCAACTTTAAATTGAGCCAATTTCCAAACTCCACTTCACATGGTTACAGAGAAAAAATTATTGCAGACAAACTCGCACTCTTGGTACGTGCCAAGTAAAAAAATTGTCAAAAATCAACGAATGGCAGAGATTTTCTGCAATTTGACGTGTTGCCAGACTGCAGGGTTTTCTTCAAATGGCTTCAAATTTCAAAGGGCCACTTGACCTGATATCGCCGAGAAAAATTGTTGAAAACAAGCTTGCACTCAAACTCGGATTTTTATCAAACATCTACCAGACAGGAAATTTTTGAAAATTTTCCGCATTGTCAGTTTGAACTGACTTCTTAAAATTCAAATTTAAAACTCCACCTCCAATGGTTAAAAAGAAAAAAACCTATTGAAGACCGGATTCCACTCCCATTGCGCCCAAACTGGAAAATTGTTCAAAAATCAACCAATTTGTAGCGTTCATTAGCCATTTACCCTGTTGCCCGACTGAAGAGTTTTCTTCAAATAGTCCAAATTTCAAAACTCCACCTGAGCTGTCCACAAAGGAAAAAAATATTGAAAGCGAGCTTGCCAGCTCCCGTTGCAACCAAGCACGAAAAATGCGCAAAAATCTACTAATAACAGGATTTTTTGCGACTAGGTGCGTTGTCAGATTGAAGTGTTTTCTTCAACTTCAAACCGGGCAAATTTGAAAACTGCGCTTCATCGGGTTAAATTGGTTTATCGAAGACAAACCTACACTCTTTTACGTGGAAAACTGAAAATTTGTGCAATTTCCCGTGCTGCCAGACCGCAGCGTTTTCTTCAAACTGGGCAAATTTCAAAATCCCAGTTGACCTGATTGTGTAGAAAAAAATACTGAACTCTCTAGTTGAACCCAAAGTGAAAAAACTTCAAAAACCAGTCAAAGGCCGAATATATCTGGAAAGTCCGCTGTTGCCATCTCGCAGTGGTTTCTGTGCACTGTGCCAATTTCAACATCTTTTCCTGCTTATAAGGTGGTTGCAGAGAAAAAAGTTACTGAAGGCAAATTTGCACTTCAGTTGCATCCAAACTAAGAAAAATCTCCTGCTTTATCGGCAATTTCCTGTGTTGCCAGACAGAGTTGTTTCCTTCGAAATGGGGAAATTTCACCGGGTTTCAGTTGCAACAGGATGAAAAGTACTAGATTCAGTACAATAAGGGCAAGTGCTGCAACACTGAAAGGCCCCCAATATCCAAACGGATCGTCGGACTGTGGCAGTGAGGAGAAAGAGGAGGCAAATGAGGAGGAGGAGGAGGAGGAGGAGGTGCGAGTGAGCGAGAGACAGAGAGAGAGACACGTTCTTATGGCCGCGAATATGATAAATTAAATTTCGGGAATAGTGGAGTACCAATTTGATTAAACTCGCAGAAAGCCCGGCCGCCCACCCCGGAAATCGATAACTTGGCATAAATTATACATAAAGAGGCGTACTCGGATGAAATGAAACAATTCCACATTAATAGCAACTGTTTCATTAATATATTAGTAACTGTTGTAAATAAATTTAATTAAATGCAAAATTTATGCGAGGGCTCGGAGCTTCCGTGCCGGTTCGCTTCCATTGGTTCCTCGACTAAATCCGCCAGCCGCCCCCCAACCCCCCGCTTTACTCCCCCCGGATTGAAATATTGAGATATATGATGGCCGGGGCCGCTCGACTCTCGAAACGTTTAATCTTTAATCGCTCCATTATTGGGGCCTACGCCGACAACTACACTTACTTATTTATTTAGCAATTTCGAGATTTGTTAAGCGATTACCGATGCTTTGGGGCAAAAATGCCAAAAGTGCCCACCACAATCGGGTTAGAGTTCTAGTTTTAGGCAATTCAACTTCAACACTTACCGGCTATCGAAGATGTGGAGGCTCCGAGCCAAGCGTGGGACGATTCCAACAACTTAGCCTGGAAAAAAAAATGTTGAAAATTAAATTGAAAAATCTGCAGATATAAACAATGTGTTTTGCGTTGTTGAAAATGTTCCAAAGTGTTGGTGTGCGGCGAGAGGGGGCCAACAAGTCCTGCGGAACATTCCTGCAGCATCTGCCGCTGAGTTATCGCGTTTATTTCAGGGCGCGACGACAGTGTAAACACGTTTATTAAAAGATATATAAGTCTAAGTGAAAATAATAATAATATTTAACGTTACATAGTGGTAAATATTGCGCGGCCCCGCTTTTCCGGTCGAGTTTCTGCATATTTGAACGCGTGCCCGCCCGATTAATCATCGTTTCTGTGTCACTTTGTTGTGTCTTCCACAACTTACGCATTTCCCGTGTAGGTTTGGTTGGAAAACGTTCAGATTTTCGCATTTCCAAATGCGCTCGCCTGGCATCGATATGATTTCCGTTCGAAATAAAACTTTCTAAATTACAAAACGACATAAAACAGGCCGTTAAACTGGAAGTTGTAATTCGTTGTTTGTTTTATACGTATAAACTTACACAAACATATAAAAAGGAAATAGTTTCGGTGTGCGACGGAGCCGAGCCTCCGAACTTCGATTTTCGTAAACAACTAAAAATACGCTTTTATTTCTAATAAATACGATTTTAAATAAATACGGGCGCGTGTGTCAATATTTAGTTATTTGGGCGCCGGCCGGAAACCGGATGTTAGGGGTTGCAGGCTGTTTATGCTTGTCAATTCGCCCCGGTTAATAACAATTAATTCGATCCAAGTCTAAACACGTCGTTTTCCTTTCGTTTAGTCAACAATGCAACTTCCCAACATTCCCAACTGATCCTAAACAAGTCATTTCTTGAAGAATCCCCTTGAATTTACAGCCTGCATGAGCAAACACTGTTTAATCAAACAGTTTCTGAGCATTTGGAAATGTGCAGCAAAACCCCCAGGAATCATAAAACAACTTCTGCCCAACACATTCATCCTAAAAACAGCCCGAATTTCCTGCTAAAAACAGACATTTGAACCTTTCAGGATTCGTCTAGTCAAATCCGGCCCCAAATGTACACTGATTCAAATACAAATGTCCTTACAAAAGTTATAATTTCTTCTAAATGCTCAATTTTCCATTTTTCTTCTCTTTTCTAAATCCCTTTCCAGCTTCCAATTTGGAACAAAAATCAAATAATTGTTGATTGCTAAAAAAAACGTGGTTTTCAGTTTAGACTGAGTTTTTTTTGCTTTACTTTCTACTCAAAAATGCTCTATTTTGACAGCTGTAGTTTCACTTAAAAATACTGATGATCTGGAGGTCTTTACGCGAAAAATACAAGAAAATGTATAACTTTGTAAACATTTTACAAGAACTTTTTTCAGCTTCGAATTTGGCATAAAAGCCAAATAATTTCATTCAGTTTTTTACCGAAAGTAATTATCATTATCTTGAAAAAACGGCCAGAGAGCAAAAGCACGAAAAAAGATTTGGAAAACTCGCCGCCCTCATCGCTCTGATATCAGTTGTAACAAAATTTCTATTAACCAATTTTTTCGGCGCAAAAATCGCATTATTTTTTAGTTTCACTTAAACAGTCAAAGTGTGAAACAAAAATTTGTACATCGTTTACTTCATAACGTTTCGGCGAGACAACAGCGCCATCATCAGATTTAAAATTCATACAAACTCATAATTGGGAAACAGTAGATTCTTTTAGGTCTTTGCTGACAGCAACTTCAACAGCAAACTTCATGGAATAATTGTCTAGATTTTTCCTAGTCTGGATGCAACTGAAGTGCAAATTTGTCTTCAGTAACTTTTTTCTCTTGCAACCAGCAAACAGGAAAAAATGTTGAAATTGGCACAGCGCCCAGAAAACACTGCCATGTGGCAACAGCGGAAATTCCAGATATATTCTGCCTTTGACTGTTTTTTGAAGTTTTTTCACTTTGGGTTCAACTAGAGAGTTCAATATTTTTTTCTACACAATCAGGTCAACTGAGATTTTGAAATTTGCCCAGTTTGAAGAAAACGCTGCGGTCTGGCAGCACTGGAAATTGCACAAACATCCTGCCTTTGGTTGATTTTTGACAAATTTTTAGTTTTCCACGTAAAAGAGTGCAGGTTTGTCTTCGATAAACCAATTTAACCAGATGAAGTGGAGTTTTTAAATTTGCCCAGTTTGAAGTTGAAGAAAACACTTCAATCTGGCAACGCAAATAGCAATAAATCCTGTTATTAGTAGATTTTTGCACCTTTTTCGTGCATGGTTGCAACGGGAGCTGGCAAGCTCGCTTTCAGTATTTTTTTTCTTTGTGGACAGTTCAGGGGGAATTTTGAAATTCGGACTATTTGAAGAAAACTCTTCAGTCGGGCAACAGGGTAAATGGCTGTAGAATGCTACAAATTGGTTGATTTTTGAACAATTTTTAAGTTTAGGCGCAATGGGAGTGTAATCCGGTGTTCAATAAGTTTTTTTTCTTTTTAACCATGGGAGGTGGAGTTTTGAATTTGAATTTTAAGAAATCAGTTCAAACTGACAATGCGGAAAATTTACAAAAATTTCCTGTCTGGTAGATTTTTGATAAAAGTTCGAGTTTGAGTGCAAGCTTGTTTTCAACAATTTTTTTCGGCGATATCAGGTCAAGTGGCATTTTGAAATTTGAAGCCATTTGAAGAAAAGCTTGCCGTTTGGCAACACGTCAAATTGCAGAAAATCTCTGCCATTCGTTGATATTTGTCAATTTTTTTACTTGGCACGTACCAAGAGTGCGAGTTCGTCTGCAATAATTTTTTCTCTGTAACCATGTGAAGTGGAGTTTGGAAATTCGCTCAATTTAAAGTTGAAGAAAACACTTCAATCTGACAACGCAGGAAATTGCCAAAAAAGTCCTGGCGTTGATAGATTTTTGAAAAATTTGCGAGTTTGAATGCAACTGGAGTGCAAAGTTTATTTTCAATAGTTTCTATATCGACGTTGAATGGGAACTCAAAATTTTCCACACCCTGCAGTCTGGCAACAGGGCAATTGCGACAAATATCCTACATTTCGCTGACAGCAAGACCTAAATGAATGCAATGTTTACCAATTATGAGTTTGTATGAATTTTAAATCTGTTATATACTGGGTGATTCAAAATTCGCGTCATTCTGTTTAAGGGGTGATAGAGGCTCACTTGGGGATAACGAGAAAAATATTGACAGTTGAAGATCAAATTTCAACTTCGTTATTCAGCATTATTTAGAAATTGTTCCATGTGTAATTGGTAGCATATTGGAAAACTTAAGCATTCAAAAAGAAAAATTACGATCTTTGCTTCAAATTACGAAAATTTTCGATATCAAAAAAGTTCTCTTCTACAATATTTTGATGAAAAGGCACAGCGGCAATGATGTTTTCTGTCATTAACAGATAGTTATAGGTGGATAGCCCTTGTCAATAATAACAATAATTTGTCAAACTGTGCCTTACTTTGAATTTTCTTCCACGAAATTGCGGATATGCGATTAGTTCGTTACCTTGAAAAACATTGCTGCCGTATTTCTGATACAGTTTTTTGGAAATTTCTCAGTTTTTAATAGCAATTAATTCCTTTTACTATTTTTTCTGTACTGCTATAACAGCGCCGGACAACACCTCCAGAGGAACGACGCCAATACGATATGCAAAAAAAAATACAGGGTGTTTGCATTATTAATAGTCATTTTAAAACGGAGACGGCAATTGGGGGCGGCGCGGGTGGGTTTTGTGAGAGGAAAATATAATTTAGGCAGTGAAGTAAAATGCAGAAATCTAATTTGGAACGAAGGGCGGCCGATTGGCAAAAAGTTATAAAATATTCAGGCGCACAAAAGAAACACGCCCGGTTAGAAAGAAGACTGTCTTATTTAAATATCACTTAGCTGAAAAGACAGTGCGGCCATTAAATATGGATGTGGCCTTTGCATAAAACAGTCACAACGTAGGTAAATGCGAAATTACCGAGTATTTCGTGGTTAAAGTTGCATGGAACTCATTGCATCGAGTTCCAGTTTGAGAACAGCATGTATAAATTATCGAAAACAACCGGCGGGGAAAAGAGAGTCCGGGATATGCCTACTTACATGTGGGGTGGGTGAGTGGGGATCGATCCGGCCAATTGAATAATTTACGATATTTTTATTTCCGAGTGGGTTTCACCTCGTAATGGGCCAGCTAATGCGACTATTGATAACTACGTTCGAGAGAAACTGCCAATGATTGCGGCTCATTATCAGCTGAATTATTCAGCTGCCATTGTCCGAGTCCTAATTAATGCCAATATTTCCTTCACCTACAAGTCGCCTGATTCGGCATCGGTTCTATTCGGGTCTCCAGCGACTGCTCGGAAATATCTGAATTCAATTAGACCGACCAAACTGAGTTATCCCGATGACGTCCCGAACGACACACGCCTTGACAATCTGCTACAGCATCCACAATTTCCAACTAATTTCATTTTGCTGTTCTGCACCCCCTGCTCTTTAGCCGCCACTGCTTTCAGCCCATTGCTGGAACTTTGACAGTCCAGCACACGAATTGTCTCTGAACTACGATCGGATTGGCCAGTTCCAACTTCGGATCATTCTGATTCGTCCCACTGATCTTGAGCCGTTTTTCTAAACTCAGTGCGGTGCCTGAAGAGTAGTAGTTGTAGAAAAAGAGACAGAATCGTTTTCGTGTTCGGAAATCTACTTTTGTACTGTGTTGTTCTTTATCATTTATCAATATACTTTTATTCATACATGTAGAGGCGTTCGTTTATACTTAGTAACAAGTAAACATCAACTACTATAAAATAGTACTACTCTGCATGACATTTGCGCTTCTTAAAAAGATCGCGTTTTACGTGTGACAACATCGCAAAAGTAGATAAGTAGGCCATTAAAACGATTATGGGACTGAACTTGTAACAAAGGTATAATTTACAAATTGTAAATAAACTTGAAAATAGGATCAATAGTTGTTGATAAACCTACGTAATTCCTTAAAAAAGCATTTCGGTTATTTTCAAATAAAAATACTAAAAAATATATAATGACAGTGGCAAGTTCAAAGTGTCACATTTACTTTGTCGCACACTGTGCGGCAAAGTCCGTGCGTAAAAGTAAAACAAATGAACGCTAAAGAAAAGTGCTTCTTTTTGATCATCGCTTCTGTTCGCAAAATGACACTTTTTGATTCATTCGAATAAAAACATATATTTACACTCCCAAACGGTAGACAATGTGTAATGGCAGTTCGTCAGGTGGTCGATCGAGAAAATGCATCTGAAATCAATTTAGAAAAAGTAATTGAGTAACCAGTTCAACAAGAATTAGATTTATTATGAGAATCATTAAAACATGTCATAATCAGCTACAAGCGCCAAACGTGCCTGAAACAAGGAGCGACTCACCTAGAGTGCACCACTTGGAGTCAACAGTTATCTACCCATAACTTAATTTACAGTAGCAACTTTACTCTGTCGAAGTATTATCAATCTATCTTTGAACCGCGCAAAACTACAATCGAAGTTGCATCCTGCCACGGCTAAACTTGGGTTGTTAAGAGGTATTAAGGGTACGTAGGTATTACGAAATACCTCCCCAAGAAAAGCCCTGCTAATCCTAAGTTGTTAATAGGTATTACCTGCTCAGGAAAAGCCTTACTAGTCACCGGCATTTATCATGATAAACAGTCTCTTAATTGGCCACTAGGTACTGCGGGTCATCCCCAGCCAGTACCCGCCTACTAGCGTTCTCTCTCACAATATTATATAATTCTACTCACGCACTACTGAAATGTCTACACAATTTCTGAGTGTTTGGTGTCCTGCGCCCATAACCTGTTGGTGGAATAAAGTGGCCACACTCTTAATGTATGTAAGACGTAAGTAAATAACGAAACCAATAAATTGTAAACGACCACCTAAGTGGCATAGAAGCCGTGCAGATAAAGGTTGACATATACAGTAGCGGTAGGTTATGATGCCGAGCTATTGAGGACCGTTCCAAGGGCATCGCCCGTCAGTTTTAAAGGGAAGATTTTTATGTACAAAAGCTGACCCAAATTCCGATCATCCTATTCAAGCACGTCGTTCTACCGCCCAACGAGAACTTTCTCAAATTCGTAGAACGCAGGGCTTGAGCTTATTACAAGTTCCTTCCTACGCGAAGAATCGGGGGAAAATTTGATTCGATATCGATTGATTTGATAATGTTAAAGAGTGAGTGTTTCTTCATAGAGTAACCTTTTCGACTTCACTTGAACATTCACTTTCTTTAAACGTTTCTTCTGTTGAGTCTTTATATTTATTGATCTTCTTTAATATTAAACTGGTTTTCTTTAAAAGTCTAGTTAAAGTTCAATACTGTTAAAGCTTCATTTAAAAGCATAAACGTTCATAGAGAAGTACCTAGTGCTGGCTGTAGACGTACAACAGTACTTTAGTAAGTTTTTGAGTCATTTGAGTAATGATGTTAGGGACGGGTACTGG